TTCTTTGGTTTTGGATTTTAATTTGTGCAGGGGTGGATTTTAATTTGGGGCAGAAGGTGTCAATTTAGAGGTGTGTGACAGAAATCTATAAAACAAAGAAGTATGGATAAGGTGACTAGAGGTGGGGCTTGGCCTCTTTTGATGCAGAAAAAAAAAAGGCATTGGTGAATGCTACTGGCAGGTGGTAGATGCAAAACAAACAAAAGCAGATGGTTCTTCAAACAGTGTGTGGCAAGCTGGGGGAATGGCTGTGGATGTTGAAAGTTTACATGTGTTCTTGGGAAGACTGGACAATTTGTGGAAGGGAATTCCACTGAAGTTTGCTGATTAGAAGAAGTGTCTTCTGAACCACAGCTCACAGAACTGCGAACTTCTGCAGAATCAAAGAATTTTCTTGAAAGGTATCAGCATGTTTGCTCAATTCTTACGCTGTTCCCTAGTAATAAGTTTTAATTAGCCTTTGAGATGGGTCCGTGGATCAGGGTCTCTGGACTGAACCTGTACAAGCCCATGTAGGTCCTTTAGGCTGAGACACATTGTAATTGCCGATGGTGTGGGAGGTCATAATTCTGCTAGTTTGTTCCATTGGCTGCAGAGAAAATGTTCTTCCTTGCAAGTAACACTACTGCTCACCACATGCAGAAATGGGGTGGAAAGTGATGCTGACCATGATGGGCCCACATGCAAGTTGAGCATCCGTTACAGTTGCCGTGGTTGGTAAAGCCACGGGAAGGGGCTGCAGGATGGAGCTGGGGAGTTCATCCAAGAGGGCAGTCCCACTCAGCATGGGGTACTCTGAGTGAGTTTGCTGGGAGGAAAAGAAGGTTCTTGGGGGGCTGCACCCCCTTGTTCACTGCATGATCAGCTACTTGTTTTTTACCCAAACGTGCCAAGTAATGCAAAGGTAAGGGTGAGTGTCTTTTGTTGAATATTAGTGATTTTTTTCTACAGAATCTCATGTGGCCTCTCTGTAGCCTACCAGATACAATCTCAAACTGTTACATTTGTTAAATATATGATAGTTAAGATGATATTAACATTTTGAGTCGTCTTCCTGTTTCCTGCCGCTGCCTTTCTGTCCTATGGCAACCATGAATTCTGAGCAGATTTGTAACACCATTCTTGCCTTTCCCATACATTCCAGTGTAGTAGAAGATGCTTTGACTTTCAGTAAATCTTTTAAACTTACATTTGAGGGGAGAGTAGAGGAGGGCGTGCAGCATGTCACAGGAGACCGTTTGTGGCAGGATCAAATGGTGCCACTTGGAACTGGACGCCAGAGCGTTCGCCTGATCCCTGCCTTCCTTGTTTGTCTGTGTGTATGTCTGAGGGGTGGGGATGAGAGCAGGAAGAACATGTCTGTGTACCTGCATGCTGTTCCATGTGAGCAGTTTTCCATACTTTATGTTAAGTAAAGGGTACTTGCCTTTTTTTTCTTTTTTTTTTCTCCCCTCTTCCCCACTATGCAGTGTTGCTCAAAAATCATGATTTAATTGCCACCCCAGTGTAGCGCGCATTGCTTGCAAGCTATGTTTCTGGTTTGTTTGTGTGACACATGAGCTTTTATTATTTATTTTTCACACACTGATTCATGCTCTGCTGTTCTGGAGCCCCCAGACGATAATAAAGCATCAGCAGGGGTTAATGGAGACTGGTAGGGGGTCCAGCAGGGAGCTTTTGTTCCCATTTTATCTGGCAGCCTGCAGCAGGCAGAAGCAGGCTGTGGCTCAACAGCTCCGTCATTTATCTCGGTCAGGTTTCACTGCTGATAAACTTCTATTGAAATGGATGGCTGCTATTGTGCTTACCAGTAGGGAAGATTTCTCATTGACTTGCTACAGGTTTAAAGCATTTTCCTGCCGTGCTATGAGGTTAAAAATGTATGATCTGCTTTGTTGAATTGGTCTTGTGTTTTCCTGCTCAAGCACGTATTTGTCTTCCAAGCACGTACGCTACCTGTTTTAAGGCACAGGTTGGTTTTAAAATGGCCAGCAACCCTCATATTGCTAAAACGACTGTGGTTCTGTATGTACATGTGGCTCTCTGTCCGTGTCCATGTGTGTTGGGAGGAAATAATAACAATATGACTGTTTTCTCACACAATTCTTCAGCCTTTGCTTCATTTTTCTTTATTCTTCATCTTTCTTAGTCTCCATTCTGAGACAGAGATGTCACCCACTGACACCTACTAGTGGTGAGCTTAAAGAAAGGACTCACTGCCTCCTATACGTATTCCAACCATTACCTAGTGATTTTTGAGTGCAGCTTGAACTTGAAGTGTTCCTGCATTCCCAAATCTATTAGCCGTGCCTAGCATTACTGTCTCTAATCCTCGTGATTAATGTGGCAAGTCTCATAGCCTGCTGTTTCTCAGCATACACACGCGCCTTGGAACCGAGCCTTGCTGGACAGCAGAAGGCGGATGGTACTAAGATTTTTTTTTTCTTTTAGCAAAGAAATCTTGAACAGAGCAGACCTTTTTGTCACTGACTCAGGAGCAAAAAGCCTGGCATCTAGAGAATGCTCTAATTCATATTCTAATCCTGAAATTGCAGGGCTACATTTTCCTCTGATGACAGCTCCCTCAATTTTACCACCAGCATAATAAGGAAATTCTGTTTGCTAAGCATTCGGCATCTATTTTCCTGAATGAGAAATTTTGTCTCATAGTCTTTGTATTGTTAAATGCTGATGTCTTGTAAGCCTGACTACTGATCCCACCTCATCCACCCTACTTTGAATCAGTGATTTGAAAACTAAGGAGAAACCACTAAGGAGAAATCGCTGCTGTTGAGCACATCTGCTTTTGTGTATTTGCATTAAATTTTTGCGGATATTGGAGATGAAGTGTGTGCAGCAAATACTTCAGGTTGCTTTTTGTCTTTGTTCTGCCCACAGTTTGTTGTCCACCCTGGTTGAATAGTGGTAGCACTTGGCAAGCTTCTCTCAGTGAAGCACATCAAGGATATGCTGCAGGGGGTGGGGTGGATTCCCCTCCTCCATCCCAGTTTTGGCAGTTTAAAGCCGACTCTGTTACGGAATTTGCAGCAATTTCTTAATGCATGCTAGAATATATTAAGCAAATCAATGACCCTTGAAGTGAGTACTAAAATAGGGGCATATTTTTTGAGAATAACTGGCTTAGACTTTAATTTAGACTATAATTTTCACTTGGAAACTTTCTTTCAAAATTCTGAGTGAACTTTTGAGAAGAGTTAAATTTCATGACACAGGTGAGGACAGGAAGCCTGTATTACAAAGCAAACAAATGACAGCCACAGATCACGTTGCTGACTGTCAGAGTCGGATCTCAAAATTTGCGTGGTCTCTTACCGATGACTGTAGTCTGGACGGCGGTCATTTGGG